CATACACACACACATATGCAAACCGTTTTTATTGGCATAAAGAAGCAAGTGGAACACCTGTTCCAGCCACCGCCGACATCCCGCTGTCGCGGATTCATTTGCATTTGCATTATTTCCCTGTTTGCTCGGCAACCCTTTTTCCCATCTTTTCCCATTTGTCCCCTTTTTTCGACCAGACTTTTATTATTTTTGGTTAGTTTTGCTGCATTACAAAATGTGTTGACATGTTATGATTTCGATTTTAATTTCAGCAGCTGCAGGCGGCACAAAAAGGTGGCTGTGGACGTGGGATGTTGATCCTGCAAACATTTGCCAAAGCCAAAAATCAGAACAAAAGCTGCAGCTCAGCTGCGAATTTAAATAAAATGGAGTGTAGTTTTGCAGGTTTAGTCGAACAAGTAGCACTACAATACCATAACTAATTTGTTAATATTTAGTATAAATAAAGGAAAGGGAGTTCAGAAATTCAATTTTAGTAAGCAAATTTCAAAGGGCGAGCATTTTACTATTCTAAAAAGGTCAATAGGTGAAAAAAAAAGAAAAGGGTAAAGACTTTTAGTGTAATCATTTCCAGGTAATTTTTATGATATAACCTATAATAATTGCGGTCCCTGAAAAACACAGTTACTTATATTGCCAATTAAATGCCATGTTTATGTGACTATCTTTATGAATTTCAACACCAGCCATCAATTTCAGGGACACTTTTCCACCCATCGCAAAAACTGTCGTACTGCAGCTTAGGATATTATTATTAGTGCTCATAAATTGTCCTAGAGCTCGTCATTATCGATAACAAGTACTCAAACGGATCGATTACCCGATACCCCCACTTTTTGTTTGTTTGGCAGCTAAAAGGACTCAGTCAACAACTTAAGGCAAGGATATGCCAGCTGCATTGGCGTATCGATTACTTGTTATTATTATTTCGCAAATGCCTCATGGTAAGTTTGTCTGAAAACTCGTGGAAAATTCACATCGGCTATTGATTTCATTACATTTGCGCTACTCTCGACAATGTTGGACATTAATTGGGAGTGGGATTACAGAGGAGAGTGCTTATCGTGTGCATTATCCTTTTGCCAGGTTTCCATTGCTTTTTCCCATTCAATTTGAAGTACATGGAAAAAACCCTTCTTCAGATAATACATTGCTTAAGTATAAGTATATTCTTCGTATAACTAATTTATTTTTATGAAGTACCTACAGGGGTGAAGGCAGAAAAATGTGGTATTCAAAAGTATGCTACAGCACATTTGTTTTCAAACCCTATAAAATACTTGCATTAAAGCATACTTTTGCATGTTTTGCAGATCCTCCTCAGTGAGTCGTCTTCCAGCTGATCCCTCTGTCATTTGTCAGCTGGTTGCCTTGGCTTTTAATTAAATACGTTGCCAGGATTTCAGGCACATCCTCGGGAGGTGGCTCAGGGATGTCTGAAGACTGTGACAGGACATAGACATAGTTGTCCCCCCTCGGTGCGTTTCGCCCCCAGAAAAGAGGACCGAACAAAAGTTGTCACTCGGGTGTCAGCCGGGGAAGATAAATAAATAAGCTGTGGGCCGGGGCGTTAAGCAAGTTGTGCTGTTATCCTTGCTTGTTCCTGATCCTGCGGTTCATATTTATGCCACCGCTATTGCTATTGCCTTTGCCATTGTCCTGTTCTTGTCACGCGAGCCGGGCGCGCTTTTCCAATAATAATCTCTTGTCCCGGGCATAAATGTCGCATTAAAATGTCACGCACTTGTGGCTTAATCACGCCAAAGGATAACGGCACGCCCACTGCCCCCCTATGATCACACTGCGCAAAAAAAAGGGGCAACAAAGCAATTTAGTGATTTCGTATTGTTCCTTAAAGGCAAAAATCAATTAAAGTAATTTGTATGCGTTTAGTTTCAAAGCAGCAATTTATAGTGGCGGTTCTTAAATTAACTTAACCTTTTCACCTTTTGTCAAGCAAATTAATTATATGGAAAAGTTTAAGAATGTTATCTTACCAGTAAAGTAAATTAACCAGAACCAAAAACGCTAATACAACAACAAATTGTAGTTGTCCTTTCTTAATAACGGAGTACAACTGCAACAAAAAATTATATTTAATTTAATTTTGTAACCCAGTGTTATTTTTTAAAATCTTTAAAGATAATTTCTTTTTTTGTTAAGAACATAGGAAAGTAAATAAATGGCTCTCAATGATTTAATAACTCTTAATATTTAGTTTTCATAATGAGGTTTTCGTTATTAGTTCATTATTATTTTTCAAGGTGCAGGATGTAGGGCAGGACCGCCGGACATGCAGGACAGGAGCAGGAGCAGGAGTCATCTGACAACAGCACTTGAATGGTCATCCCTCGCCATCCCCTCGTTCCACTGGACGGATGTTGTTATCTCGGCGACTAGGACCAAGGACTCCGGGATGATGAAGTCGGTGGGAGGACTGCGGTTCATAGGCATTACTTGTTTGCGGTTTTTATTATATCATACTCATGTCAAACGGGCTCAGCATTGTCACATCCTTAGCCGCTCCTGGCGATGACGATGATGATGATGATGACGCTCTGCCAGCTCAGCGTCCTGTCATTCCAGCTCTTAGCCACCCCTCCTCCTCCCCCTCCACCTCATCCCCCTCCTCTTCCTCATCTTCATTGGATCTGCCCGCTCTTCAATCCCCATCTAAGTTCCACGGTTCACTCTTGTCCTTCATCTCAAGCTGCCAGTTATTACACATTGCCAGCGTCTTAATGTCGGGATTGTCGGACGAGGGTTTCTGGCAAAGGGGCTCCACCCCCTCCCTCCCCCCTCGCATGCTGCGCCGTAATTCGCCAACAGGTGGCGGGCCTCACTCAAGTGGCTCTAAAGGAATCCGTGGGCAGGAGATGTCGGTGCCGAAAAGACCAACCAACCACTTTGGCCCAAGCGAGATGAGATGTCCTTGCGGGTCTGGCACAGAAATCGAATACCCTGAAAATGGCAGAGGCTTGTAACCCTTTGTTCCTCTACAGAAATTAACATCACAAGTCAATTTATAAATTACAATATATTGAACAATTTATCTATTGCACTGAAGAGCTTGCCTAATTTCTAAAATGAGTAATACAATTTTAATACCTAACAATACAATCAATTTTAAAAAAATTTCGATCAGAACTAATTAAGCACTTGAGAGAAATTAGCATACCGAATTTTAAATACTATTCATTAAATGTATCCGTCTGTAAAATTCTATATCCAATTTTGAATTAATTTATTTATTTTTAGTCTTTCCTTTTTCGTTTTGTGGCACATTAAAACATAAGTTATACTTGCAGTGCTAGGATGAAAAATAAATCTATATACACTTCATTAGAATTACAATTATTTTCTTAGAGATCAGAAACGTGTTATACCAAAATGTGACCTGAATTCATTGGGTATTCCCCACTTCACAATAAGTTCTTTGATTCAGCTAAGAGATTTGAAAGTCCGCAGACTCCTTGTGAGTTTCTCGAGAGCATTGCAGCTTCGTTTTCGACCAGGCCAAGAGATGTGAGTCATTTAGACTGGCTGCAATTGGCAGCAGTTGGCAAAGGCCGAGCCGGGCCACATTTTATAAGTTAAGGCACGTTCCAGTGGTTAGGTCCACTCAACGGCCTGGCCAGGACACCGCAGGACCCTCCTCCGCTCCTCCGCTCCTTTGCTCCTCGGGATCGGTGTGTGGTCAAAGGGAAACTGCAGTCGACTGCCGCAATGAGAACGCAAAGTTTATTTGCTGAGCCGGGCCAAAAAAGCGAAGTGCAATGGTAATGGTAACCATAAGCCGAAAACCCCGTTTTGGTAAGTCAGAAATTGAATTATGGACAAGAGCAAAGGACGTATTCTGGGGCTAATTCGATTAGACAGTTACAAATGCTGATTCAATTTGCATTGTCAATTAAATCGCTATCCTGGTAGCACCCATAATTGCATTACAGCATATTTGCCTGCCATCAACATGTTTTGCCCACAAATTTTCCACTGACTTCAGCACTTTGCGCAACGCCCCCTTTTCCGGCTGGTCAAAATAATTCCTAATTTGGCCCCTTTTTGGTTATTGCCAGTAGTCCATAGCCCGTAACCAGTAACCAGTAACCAGTAACCAGTAACCAGTAACTTGGCGGCTTTCTTGGTGATTGGCCAGCAAAAAGTTCTGGGCCAGCCGCAGTGTCGCCCAAGGAGTTCGTGTATTTTGTGTACTGAATCCTTGTGTGTCCTTTGCACTCGACTGCGTTAAGTTGAGTTGATGAAAGGCCAAGTCAAATGCCTCACTGATTGCATTGACATCACTGCCTCCTGGCCCTTTTTGGCCCCGGCACAAATGTATTTGGCCAAACTTTACGTATGATTTGCTGGGAAAATTGAAATTTCCCCTGCATCCTGTGGGGTCGACTGGGATTCATTATTACTTCCACACATCCGACCCATCAAGTTGGGTCTTCAGTCCGCAATCCACAGTCCGCAGTCTGCGATTTGCATTTCAATTATGTTCAAATTGCATCTTCTGTATCTGCCATGCCGAATATTATTCAAGGAGCAGTGTGGGGCCAATTTTATATTTGCCAGCACATATACCTTTCATATTTGTTTGGCATGCAAAGTCAAATTTTCTGCAATTTATTGGGAATGTATATTGTGAATGCTTTGGCCATAGCGGTTTTGATTGACTTGCTTTTATTTTACTTGTACTCCTTTTAATTAAAATATATATTCATTAAGATCCAGCCTTGATTTATAATTTGAGGCTTAAACAATAAAATATTAGTGCGAACTGTCAAAAGAATGACTGCTTTGTGCAACTCAATATCTAAACTATCAATTCCAAATGGACGAAAAAAATGATTGTTTTGAGCCATTTTTATAACATCATAATTTTGTGCGAAAATTGGTCCAAAATTAAGATTTTTAGCTTTAAATGCCAATCGATTGGAAAATTTGTAACGAATTTATGTATTAAATCCAACTGCACATTAAAATCAAAATATTCCTTCCATTAGCAAATTGTTGATTTAATTTTATACCATATTTTTTGTATACATATATAGCTGGAATTACGACACAATCGTTCCGCTCGCTTTGCCCGTGAACAAACACTGAAGCATCAGATACGGATAGTCGCATCTGTCTAAATCGGTGACGCCATCGAACTGCTGCTTACAGTGGGCCAGAAAAGTGTGCTCTCGTTCGGTTCCCCGACTTCCCACCCTCTGCAGATCGATTTTGCCATCCTCACCGAAATACTCGTCGATCATACACCTGCTGTAGCACTTGACAGCCAGGGGAACTTCGGAAACGGGAGTGGATGGAGCCACTGTCTCCACTTCGGCACTGGTCAAGTTGTGCAGCTTCAGGCAATCCTGTGCACCAAGGCAGCAGGGAAATTGCCACTGAAATAGAGGGTTATATTATGGCGATTCAGGTTACTTTCCAGCACCCACTCACCATTGATATCAAGCAAATCCATAATACAACCTTCATCGCGGAAAACTATTTCCCAACTGACACTGACCACCAAATCATCAGCCTTATATATGCTGCAACTTTCCAATTTTAGTTTAGCCAAAAAGTAGACAAGCATTTTCTATAGATTTAACAGTTTTTTGTTAATTTATAAACAAAGATTGATTTAAATAACATACGCAAAACATTTATACTTTATTGAAAACCAATAGTTCCTAAAGAAAACACGTCGTATACGCAATCTGAATATTAAGTAGCCGAGTTATAAATGTTATCCATATTTATTGAGTTAGAAAATATACAATTTTTTGGCTTTCATACTCCAAGCATCTTTAATCAAAAAAAAAAAAAAACATATATGTAGCCTATCTACTGTACTGGACTTTATTGGTATATTTCATATGGTTTATTAATATATATAAATACACATTATATTCACGCTTTGCAATTTGCAGCGAATATCACATCTCATATATGATGTCAAGAAAAAAAAGTAATATTCCGTCATGTTATTGGGTTGGCCGCAGGCAGTGCTCACTGTACCGCCACAAGTTCGTCGAATCATTTTGGGGTTTTCCCCCTTTTAGTATTAACTTAGTCTACTGTCTTTTTGGTAAGTATTTTCTTGATGGGTTTGACGCAGCAATTGCCCATTTCCAATGAATAAATAAAGTAATAAAAATATTAAACTTAGCCAAGGAAAACATAGAATTAAATTATCAGCTTTAAAAACACAAAAAAAAATAGGTTAAACATAGGGTGAGAAAATGGAGACGTGATGATGTTTGAGGCACTTATATCGATGCTGATTTATTCTTTTCTTGTGATGTGTAGAGAATGGGGGCGTGGCAGCGGAGGGCGGGACGGCAGCCTAGCAAACTAGACGCTCATTGTCCGGATGGAAGATGCGGTCATAGTTCTCGATCAGCACCTTGGCCAGCATGTTCATGCGCCCGATGTCCAACTGGATTTGGTTGGCGCTGAGCAGACAAGGACCCCAAACGATGGCCAGATTGGTGGACGGCATGCGATTCGAGGCGCTGGCAGCGGCAACTCTGGAAAATAAATATAAATATATATAAATAATACAATAAACAAATGAATACAATCAGACAAAATAGAAGGGAAAGCCCATTTGCTTTGCATGTTAATCATGGGACTCTACAAATTATTCATGTTTTAGTAAGTGTATTTGGATTGTATGACAAATCTTAGAGGGAATTCTAATCCCTCAACAATTCTGGGCAATATTGTCATATGGTCTACGGTTCACGGTTCCTATTTTTCTTTGGTAGAAAAATTGTATAATTGCGGTCCACACAAATCGACCCAGTAAAATGGCTACAATGATCATTTTTTTTCAAATAGAGTATTTTTCTTTTGCGAATTCAATGGGTCAAACGTATTTTTTATATTTATAGTTTTTTTTGGAAGAAGTGGTTTTTGAGTCCATTCAAATCGTATCAATTGAACAGTTACTAAGATAATTTCCCTAAATAAAATTTTATTTTTATTTTGCAAATACGAAGGCTCAATCATAATTCAAGGCTTCTATTTCCTTTGTGCTTGGAATTGTCTATAGATTACGTTTCCCACCATCCATTAGTTACTCTTTTCGAGGCAATCGTGATCTTAGGCTCGCAGTTTCTTTGGCAGAACTGCTTGGAATGGTTGAGAGATGATGGTAATGAAGTTTTGGGCCACCAACCTGGTCAAGTGCCTGATGAGGAAGCGCAGCGTGGAGCGGTTCGGCTCCGGCATGTCGTCGAAGGCCAGGCTCATCCGCTCGATGGCGGCGTCGTCGGTGAGGCTGCGACCGAGCCGCTCGTAGGCCTCCTGGGTGATGAGGGGGGCGGCCAGTTCGCGGAAGAACTGCTTGTGCAGGCTGGTCAGCGTGTGGATGTCGTCCGTGTGCAGCCAGCGGGGATCGTACAGGTGGGTCAGCTTCTTGCGCAGCTCGTCCACGAGCACCTTGTTGCCGGAGGCGCGGTACAGTCCGTCCTGTTCGATGCACTCCGGCTGCTCGATGTAGGTGCACACGTCCACCACGAAGCGCGGCACATTCGGATGGTCGGTCATGTTCAGCTCCAGGGCGTTGAGGGGCGCGGCGAAGAGGGGGCACTTCTGCTCGTCCAGGTACAGACTGTTCACCTGCCCGCGACGGGTTCGCGACTTCTTCTCGCTCTTCGGCGAGCGGTTGCTGCAGATACGGATACGGTTTATTAGATACATTGCTATTCAACACCATTGAAGTGGAAATGGAAAAAATCATAAACTTTTGATGCTTTTCTAGAAGAGTTTCAAACACTGTTCAATAGTCAACTGGCCAACACTACACTCAAAAAACAACACTGTTCTAAATGCCCATTTGTGTAAAGAAAAATGAAATTTTAACACTTTGTCTTTATTTATTTCAGAATAATTTAGACTCAAGCTAATTATAATATTTCTGGAATTTTTGTTTTCTAATTTATGGCAAATAAGTTATGTCTTTCTTACTCAATATAAAATGTTATTCTTTTTATTCATTTTGTATTCATAAAAAAAAAGTTTAGTTTTATCTATGAAAATGATCAGAAAATTATGTTAAAGGAAATAAAAAAGTGAATGTGTAGCAAAGTAAGAAAAATTTTAATTTAGTTTTTCGAGGCTTTTCTTCTGAGTGTAGATTTTTTCAAGTATAATAATATGTTTTTTAAAGCCAAAAGTTGAATTTAAAGTAGAATCAATTAGCAGTACTTACAGGCGAAACACATTGCTGTTGACGGCGACTGCATTGATTTTGACATCGTGAGTCCAAACATGCAAGGAGAAATGGTTAAAAATTATTGCTCTATTTGCAAATAAAATATATTCGGCTACATGGCGACCAGCGGCTTTCTAAGAGGATGGAATTTTTCGACATTTCTTCTCGGAGCGATCTCAGGATTTGTTGTGCCACTCCCGACTGTCAGTCACCGCGAATTGCGTATGAATTTGTTTGCCTATGTAAAAAAAATCTCAGCTGAGAATGTCAGTCAGTCAGTCAAACATTCCTCGCCTTACATAGATTGTGATTCATGGGCGACTCATTTGCATTATCCAAAAAGAGCAACAGCAGCCGAAGCCGCAGAAAATCCCCGCGTCCGGCAAAAGTGAAACCAGCTTTCATTAATGTAATCCCCCAAGAGAAAGAGACTCTAGTATTCGTCTACGTCGTCGCACTCCCATTCATATGTGTCCGTAGATAGAAGTCCCCAGTCACTCTGCCAGTTGCCAGTTGCCAATTGCCAGTTTCTGTGTGGGCCGCAACGACCTTAAAAGGCCAACCCGCGACGAGCTCGAGCCTCAAATGCTGGTAATGCACTCGGAAAAAAAACGCTACATGACATCCATAAGGTCTAAGAATATGCGTTAATAATTTCCCCTAATATAGGAATCACTACAGATCTCCGCTCAAATGCAAAGGTTTACATAGGAAATACTTAACTTCTCTAAATAATTAAAAACATTTTTAACTACTTAATTCCACTAAATAGTAAACAAAAGAGAGAGCATATAACATTTTTGTTGAGGTTGTTCACATAAAACATTTTTTTAACATACAGGCAAAATCTATTATTCAAACGAACTTCCACATGGTTAGAAATTAGAATGGTGACATTTAGAAGCAATTTTTTTGAGTGCATGCCAAATGGTTTTTCCACTCGCGTTGGTGGTTTCTACTTGGGATCGCAGTTCCGAGAGCAGCAGTTTTCTGTGCAGACAGTCGGGCGCCCTCTTTTAACCGGTTCGTTGCAAATTCACTCGAAGGAAAGTCATCGATGGTACAAGAAGTTGAGTTGGAGACACTTTCAGTCGATGACCAAGCGGTTGCTAATTATTTTATAACTAATTGGCAAATCATGTTCATTGGAACTGGGCTATTAGAATCCTTAATTGGATGCCAAATTAAATATATTTTTAAAGTACACTGAACCTTTTTTTTTGTATCCGATTGCTATGTTATTTATTGCTTTCCTTTTTAGCAATAACTTTTTATGCCAGCTTCGATTACTTTCATTCTTAGAAGTAATCCCCAAATATCTATGACAAAGTGATGTTTTACTAAATGCTCTAAAAATATATTGTTTGTAGTGAAAACTGGTGCCTCACTCGGTTTCACTCACGTACCAAGTACATGTTTACACTAATTGCAAATAATAAATCACAAAAGGTTTGTAAATATTTTCTCATATTTCAAACCATTTTCATGACTTAAATTTAATAAAAATCTAATGCCCGGTTTATTAATGTCATGTTAAAGTTCTAGTTTGTAATATGTCAGAGAAAAAAAATTGAATTTTTCGACCGACCTCTTTTAACCAGAACATTTAAGAAGAAAATTTAAGAGTTTTTTGCCAGATAAACTCTATCATGGTATTGAGAGAGAATAGTAATATTTTTTAAAACGCAATCTTAAACTCAATGTCAAAATTTAACATGACATTAAATACGAAAAAAAAACAATTATCTTTGCCGGCCGCAGCTGCGAAAATATAATTCAATTTGCTGGGGAAACTTTTCCGCCTTATGTACATACGAGTATAATAATCAGCACTCATTTAATATAATATTTAACCAAGCAGTGAGGGGAACTATCATCGTAAATGACTGGCTCCAAGCCAAATAAGAACCCCAGTGGTACTCACACTTCATCCGCATGCGATTCTTGATGGACTTCTTGTCCTCCTCGCCCGGAAGATCGCGCAGGTTGCCGATGGAGACGCTCTTGAAGCGCTGGAGAATCGTGGTCTGCTGCGTCTGCTGCACCTCATTGTCCTCCTGGATCTGCTGGGCCCGCAGAATGTCAGTCACTGGCACAATCTGGAAGGTGGGGAAAAAGACAAGGCACCACATAAATATTCAAGTTCGGCCAAATCTAGCCCAGAAACTCTGGGAGCGTACAATTGAGGTACACAATCCGACAATCCGGGTAACGTCTGCAAATTAATTGCAGCTTTTCGTGCCGTTGTCGATGTCTATTTTCTGTGTTTTCTCTTCGTTATAATACCCATTTATCAGAGCTGCTCAAGGGTGTTATGTTTTTATGAAGATCTTTAATTAAGTCATACAAGAATTTCCCATTTACAAAACAAACCCAATTTTACATTATAGTAATATACCAGAAAATAAATAATATATGACACAATACCAATAGCACAAGTTTAAAGCATCTAATTTAAATTTACATTTTAATGTAATAAAGTTAGTATAACAAATCCAGAAATTGAAATATAAAAGTAAATTTAAACTTGCACAATATAAAAAAAGTGGTTTCTTTTAATAACAGATCATGGCATTTCATTTTAATTTAAAATTTTGTATTAAAGAAGTTTTATTTAAAAATTGAAACAATATCAAAAAACAATCACCATAGATAGTTTTAGTTATAAGTAAAACCACCGTCACAAATGGTATGTCATTGTAAGAACCATGTTATGCTTGGTATTTAATAGTCGAAATGTTCCCCAAAATCGTTTTGTTTTTCTTTTTTTATTACTTCAGGGCAAGTTCTGTTGTTTGGTGGGGTTCTTTTCGGTTCCACCCATCGCTCACCGTTGTTTGCCTTCGCTTGGGATTGAATCTGCCCGCCATGTCTTATCGCCGGTCTCTTGGCCTCTCTCTGTCACTCCCACTAGCGGGCCGGGGCACGCTATCTCTTTCTCCGGACGAACAGACGGACGGAAAGCGGAACGGAACGAAACCCAGAGCCGTACAAAAATACCAAAACAGAAACAATTCTGATAAGAAATTGATTTCGATTTGTAAGAAATCGCGCAGCGGTACGGAAAATAAATGCAAGCGTTCGAGATAACGGTTAATCGAACAGTGCCGGTCCAAGGTGTCGCAGCCAATGCATTTAACGGTTCCGCCGCCCACTTTCCACCCACGCCACATCACCCCCAACTCCCACCAGCTGTCCCCCCCCCTCCTCACCCCTTCGGCCACACAATTCTGTTTACGACAGCATAAACAAAATCCTCAGGTTATCGGCGACATATATAAAACTATTCACGGTGCAAGGGAGATATTCTATACCCCCATATGCCATATACTTTTGTACAGGTAAAATCTCCTAACACCAACTAACCTAGGAAAATTAAAAATTGTATTTAAAATGTAGCTAAAAATATTACCACAAGCCACAAACTTATTTTCCTTGCTTTGTATACAGAAAACAAGGAACAACATATAGAAATATTCTTATCAAATTAAAAAAAATAGAAGCTTTCTATCAACAATTTCGAAACTCCGTATTTTGGGATTCCCAATTTTGGAAGCTTATGTTTTATAGGCCAAATTAAAAGTATTGTCTAAGAATTTAACCTCAGAAGATGCATTTTTTGTGTATCGATGCTCCACTGTACCATAAAGCCAAACAGAAGTTTCCGCTGCAGGGGAAATCCTCAAGATGTACAGTACACGAAGTCAGACTGCCACCTGGAGTTCCCCTGAATCGCGGCTGTTTCCACATTTGTTTGCCTTCCAAACAAGGTCTGTAAATCCAACAAGAAATCCCTTCACGAGTGCAAAGCTTTCGCTATTCCCAGAACTCCGGATATATATATATATCTCGAATTGAACTCCAAACAGATCATTACGTGTAAAATTAATTATATAACTTTATACATATGTATATATATATATATAAAATGTGCCATAACTGGGACTTGGTTATTCCAACTCCCAAACATCAATTTTGTTTAATATTGAAAGCGAAAAATTCCGGAACTAAACTTTGTAAAACAATATAAATTTAGCAATAGATATGGTGACTTATTTCAATCACAGTTTAATTTACTACTTGGTCTGGTTAACATTATAAAACAGAAAACATCGATAATTCCAAAACGATCAAATATATCATAATGTATACAATTTTGTATTATTCCATGACCTATCAAGTTATAATGTGCTTAAAACAGGGTTTGATGACCCCGATCCCGAAGCACCAATTTTGTAAATATTTATTGCCTAATGAAAAGTTTACTATTGCTTAAAAACAAAGGGGGAAAAACTGCCTATTATATCAACAAAAGCCAAGACAACAATAAACAAATTGAAAGAAACTGCAGAAAACCGCTTCCATATGTCTTTCAAGTGAAATCGATCGCCAGGCGATGAATATTGGGATTTTCGTTCACCAAAAATTAGCACTTGATAATTCCGGCAATTTGCAGTGCAGACACACCGCTCGAACTGATTAGACTCAATTTGTTTTGGCTAATTTGCCTACTGTTTACGGCTTTTGTGCGAGTGGCAGTATTTTGAGTTTTTGGACAGCGTAAACAAAAGTGCAAATAATGCGCAGTTTTGTGATTTTTGTTTTACACGAAACATTTGGCCAAAATACCTCTGCATATGGCGGCCAGAATGGTAATTTATGTGCGCCCAAATAGTAACAATAAAGCCGAAAAAGAAGGCAAACGATTTAATTGATACGACCTCGACTAGTACATGTGTTTACTTTGCTTTTTTCCCTATTTTGCCTTTCGATTCGCGCGCCCGCAGATACTGTTTCTGTATCTGTATTTGTATCTGTATCTACATATGTATCGCCCCGTTTGCCACCACATGATTCACTGAAAAAAGCCACACCGAAATACCAAATACCGAAACGAACAGCGGCAAATAAACAAATGATCCGAAAGCCAAACAAAGGCGGCTCAGCTCAGTTGACCTTTTTGTTTTGGCTTTGGTTTCCAGAAGAGGAACCATCGCTGCCTTGAAGCCCCTCCTTTCAGAGCCCCTCCAAAGTCCAAAACTCAGCTCAATGTCTTTGGATTTTTTCGGACTGCGTGGGCACTTCACTCGTTAAAATCTTTGGTTCACTCCAAGATCTTGTCTTCAAGTGGGCCTATCCAAAGTGTTGACAAACTGAATAAATTTACTTAGACACTTGAGTTTGACACAAGTTATAGAGCCACTTAGAAAGTCATTTTTGAATTCAAGAACCCTTTGGGTTGATTTGTAACAAAACATCGGGGATTACATTCAAAAACTGTTTTTAAACTTTGAATAAACAAAAAAATTGCATTCATTAAATCATAGCTAAATTTAAGCTTGATCGTATGATGATTGTTTAATATCTTCAACAAAATATGTATAAAGTTCGGAATTTCCTCTGCAATAAACAAGCACTCAAATGCCATTAAAAATGCAATAAACCCGATTGGAACTTAATCTTATGAATATGCACAAGTAAACATATCCGAGCGCATATCGCAAAGCCGGGAATTTATTTATGGAACACTCAAGTTCCGTTATGATTTTTACAATCCAAGCGATAAAATTTGGTGGCTTAGTCAAAGGTTCTGAGAAGGAGCAAAGTCAAGCGAACGAAAAAATGGAAAAATGGAAAAAAAACATGCGGTAACAGAACGACGAAGAGTTACAAAAATATTTGACTAATGATTAACCAATTAAATGCTGATAAATGCGATGAACGAAGCTCCAAGGCAGGAAATTACACATAAGAAAGGGGCACGAAAACCCCAATGCAAACCGACTCAAAAGATGCCTAATGGGAAACTTTAAAATACATGATGATAATGGGTCTATTTTTTAAGCTTTAAGAAATATATAATGTATTTCTGGGCATTTTAAAGTATTCGTATAAGACTAAGATCCCTAGTTTAATTTTTTTGACGCAAATTTATCATATTATATTAAAGCTTCTAAATATTTCTACATGAAATGCAAAAAAATTTTTGTATATTTTTTATTTAGATTCTGTTTGGCGGCAGTATAATATAATATAATATAAGGTCTTATTAAAAACTAACTTACATTTCAGGATATCTTCAAGGTCTCCCTAAAAACTATAATTGATCAACCAAAGTATACCCTCTAAAAGAGTATAAAACACGCCAAGCGGATACAACAACAAAATGCTCCCCTCAAGCGAAAAACCGGTTTGTCAAAGTTTATAACAAAAATGAAAAAAACAAAAATTAACTTTAGTGGCAAACACACACACCTAACAATATGTATATTACGGCAGAATATATGCAAGCCAAAAAGGAGGAAAATAAATAAAACAAAATAAATAAATAATTGTCGTTCGCGAAATGTGAATCAACATTTTGGGGGCTCACAGGTACAGGGGCGTCGAATCAAAAAAAAAATAAAAAGGGGTGTGAAAGGTGGGTGGGGGGTGAACTCTCCCTGGGAATTTCTATGGAATTTCACATGCAGCGGCAAATGCAGCAAACAGAAAACAACAAACGTGAGAGGCAAATAAATAAAAATACATTATGCAGAAAGCAGCACACGTACGTAAATATGTTTGTAAATTTGCACATATGTATGTACATATGTACCTACAGGCATACACTCGCTATAAACAAAGTGCAATCAAAAGCCAAGTATGGCAAACTGAAAATTACATTTTCGATCGAGACAAAAATGCCCTGGAGGAATCCCAAACACGAAATGGAAATCGTTTAATTATAAATTTATATAATATTTCTAGGCAAAGGTGTTTAAATATTTATATGAATATAAAAAAAAATTTATTATAATGGTTTTTTTAATTCTAATTAAAAGCAAAGTTCTTATTAACTTATCAATGATTTGAGCAATGCCAGTGAAATATATTTAATTATTATATATTATATATATTATATTCATTTATTCTTCAAAGCTTTTGCAATATTCTCTCGATACTCGCATCGGTCGAGAATGCCCAGAGTGATTAGGGTATTTTCAAAAACTTTGAGCCCCAACGGAAGGTTGGGTAACTTTTCAAGCCCTCGGAGAAGGGGTTCGCATAGATCGGCCGAAACAATCGCATAAACCGTTGTGCCCGGGGAGAAAGGGATACGGAGATACAGAGATACAAAGATACAGATACATTTGCAGAGTTTAATTGATGTGACAAGTGACAAGTGGGGAAACAATGGCCATACAAAGAAACAGAGAGAACGTACATGGCAAATTGCGAGTGACGAGAGTGCACTCAGAAAAATGAATGACCTAAGGAATTCAAAAAGGTTCAGAGTAATATACATAAATTTTCATATATTCTTAGCAGAGAATTTAATCTTTGGGCATAAATTAATCAAGCTTATTAAGAAATATAAGTCACGACTTCAAGCTTAATACAACGCTGATACGAATTGTCTTCTTTGATTAAATTTATTACTTTTGTCAAGATTAAAGATTGTTGATTGTTCTTGACATTCCAAAATTGCGAATTCTGTGGGAACAAAAAAGTGTCATGCATTTTAAAAATGATACTGCCTTGTTATTATATTTATATTATATTTTCTCTGTCACCCAAAACTTAATGGTGTTTGATAAAGTTTCAATCGGTGACAGAGGGACTTTTATTTTTAAAGGGTTACTTCACAAATAAAACTTCGCCCACAAATTGCACAAAATTAGCCAAATTGGTAAGCAACCAAACTGTGCCCAAATCAGAAACATTGAAAACAAAACAGAGGTGTCATAAAATAAAAGTCTGCATAATGTAGTTTTCCCCCGTCCCACCCACTCACCATGTCCTCCTCGTCCTCGCAACAGTAGACATCCTGCAGCGTTTCCCGCCACGCGAGCACCGAATCCGCGCGCAATAGCCGCGCATTGGAGCGGACCCTTAGCTTGCGTCCCGCCCGAGGGGCCACGCCCCGCTTGCCGGCCACCGCCCCCGCGGCGAGCACGGCCCGCTCCCAGTCCTCCTTCAGCGGCTGGGGAATGGGCACCGCCAGGTGATCCTGCTCCTGCTCCTGCTCCTGATCCTCCGCCCCGCAGCTGCAGCCACTGTCGTCGTTGCGCGGAGGAGCCGGGAGCTGGGTGGCCGGGACGGGAGGGGGCGGGGCCGGACGTCGGATGCGGGTCATGAAGCGCTGGTGGATCTGCGATCGCTGGTAGTCGTAGAATATCGCTCTGTACTTCACGGGATCTTTTTGGCTGTAGAAAATGCAGATGTTCCTGAGAATCGGATGAACCAGAGACACCAGCTGGGTCGCCACGGCCTCATCCTTTGGCGGCGCTGGTAGCCTGGCACTGCCGGCGCTACTGATGGAGCCCATGGTCGCCGTGCTGTTCGTCACCGTGCTGCCCAGGCTGAGTGTCTCCTCGGCCTCCGCCTCCTCCTTGCTCTCCCGCAGGAACATAAACTCCACGTCCGTCTCCCACGCCCCCTGGTCCATGGAGGCGGTGGGCGAGGGCAGGGGCGTGGGCAGCATCATCTTGGAACGCTTGGTCAGCGTCGATGTGGACAGCTTGTGGCGAACGCCGGCGGCAAAGACCGCCGCCGCCTGGAGGGCCATCACATCCGCATCGGCATCGGAGGGCAGCGACTCGTCGTAGTCCTCCAGGTCCTCCTCCTCGTCCTCATCTTCCTCGTCGTCCTCCTCCTCCTCATCCTCATCCTCGCCCTCTGCAGGCAGTGCTTCGATAATCTCCTGGTCGGCAGGTTCCATGGTCTTGAACTTCCAAATGGGCTGGTAGATGGATTCCTCCTCCTCCTCCTCCTCTTGGTCTGGATTCTGACCGTTTGATTTGGCCAGGACTTCCTCCGCCTGGCGGGGATTGCTCAAGGATGTGTTGGGATTTCGAACGGGAACTTTTGGCGCCGGACGTCGAACTTTGATTACGCAATTCTAAAAATTCAGTTTAAAACAAACGTTGCTTTCAAGTTGGCATTTTAAGATTGATACCCAGGATGTCTATATATTTGTTGTGTCGTTTCACTCGGCTTTATAATTGACTTATTTAACAAAAAATGGTACCTTAAGCACCTTAACATTTTTTGGTTTTTAATAAATAGCTTTTAATTAAAGTAATAATGTGGAGTAACGTATTACACATCCCAAAAGTATTTGAAAACATTAAGGTACTTTAACATACAAAAAATAAATAGAAAAAAATAGCCTACACAAAGAACCACTTTTACAAGTTAATAAGTTAATTAAGTAGCATAGCGGGGGATTCCCCTTCTTGCATTTAATGGAAATTATCATTCATATGCCTTTCATAAAAACAATGAAATTACTCCATTAAAACGTATATACTAGGAATCACAATCATATTTAACTTTTTCATAACGGGATGATGGCAATTTCACATTTGGTTCGCATATGGCAACACTTTTTTAATCACCCAAATAAAAAAAATAAATAAGAAAAAAAGAACGTTAATTAAACGCTGATTATTTTATAGTTATCTTTTGTTTTCATTGCAAACTTGTTTGTTTTTCTCCACATTTTTTTTCATTGTTTAATGGTTGTTTTTAATTAGATAAGTTTGTTTGTTTTTATGTGTTCCAATAGCCAATCGAATGTTGGCATCCCTTTCGCACGCGATACGTTAGCCAATTTTAAAGTGCAGTGAAACGCAACAACAACGAGTGCACAGAGAAAAAAAATAGTGGCCTATCACTTTTATCACATGATTTTTTGTAACCAATTTATTAAATCAGAAAACAATTACTTTAAATTAAAGTATGTACACATACCAAAAGTTAGCGTTATCTTTTGATGCGATCTAAAATGTCGAAAAGTTTGTAGGGCTTTGTAGATTATAATTTATTACCTCTTTGTGAAGTGGTATTGTTTTGATATTTTTAAACGTTATTCATATAAAGTTTTATAATTCCAGCATTTCTCATTCAAATGTTCCTTGAGTTAAATAGTTTTATTACCAATATAAGGAAAAAACATGAAAAGTCAATTCTATAACACGAATAAATTTTGGTTTGAGTCATGGAAGCTCGCATGTTTTAATCGAGTTGTACATTTTTATCACTTTATTGATCGTTTTTTAAATGATTTTTTTTGGCTGTGTTTTTGATTTTTTTCTGTTTGTTAGTTTAATTTTGTTTTCGTGATATTATAGACTTCTGTTGATAATGCCACTATTTTTAAATGGTTTAAAATTGTGCGTGTTTTTTTCTCTGTGCTCTTTTTTAATTTTGTTTTTGATTCGTGTTGTTATTGTTGTTGTTGTTTTTTTATAATGAGTGTTGACCTGTGTGATTTGCTGCTGCTGCTCTTGTTGTTGTTGTTCGCTGACATTGCAACTGGTGGTGTTGCTGTTGTTGTTGCTGTTGCCATTTTCAGTGTCATTAGTTTGATTGTTGTTGCATGTGTTGCTGTTGCTGCTGTAGTTGTTGTTTATGCTGTTGCAGTTGTTGTTGTTGCAATTGTTGTTGTTGCAGTTGTTGTTGCTGCTGCTGCTGCAATTGTTGTTGCAAATGGGGCGCTCTGCCTCGCCATTCGGCTTTGGCGCCGCCATCAAAGCTCGGTTTTTCTTGCTGTTGTTATTGTTATTGTTGCTTCCGTTGGTGGAGCTCTCGACCCCGCTCACACCCTCTCCCGCTTCCACTTCTCCACCCACACCAACACCCTCACCCTCGCTCAAAATCGCGCTCTGAATACTTCGCTTCGGAATTCGAATCGCGCGACGCGACAGCACGTCGTCACTCTCTGGAATCGCTGGCGAAACTGAAACCGCTCGACGACGACCGCCGCGGAAGAGAAGCAGGCGCCATTCTCCGGCTGAATCTGAGTCACGCGCTCTCCGGCGGCGATAACTGATCGGCTGTAGTTGTTGCTGCTGGAGATATAGCCACAGGCTGAGCGATTTGTCATAGGCGGTGAGAAAGCCACGCACACACACGTGCAAGCTGGAGCCCAGTGCAAGACTCTGCATTAAACCGAAGAGAGAGATTTGGGGAAGGGAGAGATTTTTACGCTCTTCGATCAGAGCCACTTGTTGCGTTGCTTTCTCTTCGCTCAGAGCGCTGAGATAGTCATTCACAAAATCCGCTGTGATGGCGCAGCGTCGCTGCTCCTGCTCCTGTTGCCCCTCCCGCACCTCCCTCTCCGGTGGCTCCCTCTTCAGTTGCAGCTTTCTCTTAAAGTCCTTGACCAGACTCTGTTCATCATCCTCTGACGACGCCTCCACCCTTTCTACCGTTCTTCTTCGCAGCGTGACCGTGATGACCTCTTCTTCTTTTCGACTCCCAAGACTCTCTCTTGCCGGCACGCTCTTGGGCTGCTGCCACGCCCCCTCATCGTAGTAGTGCACCTGACGCCTCAGTGACGTCATCCACTGGCAGATGCTCTCGTTGAGATACAAGGACGCCTCCACGCTGCCATCTGCTTTTATTTCTCTTTCGTCCTGCAGCAGGCGCATGCGAGAGACGCGCGGCTTCTTCAGGCGCTGCTCTCTCTTGCCCTTGCTGTCCGGCTCCGGTTCTCTTACACGGCCGTAAATATGCTGATCACTCTGGCTGCTCTTAAGCTGCGCCTGCTGACTCTTGAGCTCGCAGATGCGCTGCAGGTCAAAGGTCTCCTGGGTGCGGAACACCTCGTCTACGTTGTGTATGATCTCCAGGGAGCCGGAGCCGCCGGGCGTCGGTGTCCTTGGGAATATCCTGCGCTGTAGCGAGGAAGTGCGATTCAGCTGCTTAAGAGAGCCAAAGAAACGGGTCAAGGTTGCGGCACTGGACTTGGAGTAGCCTAAGAGAGAGCGCGACGCCTTGACCTTGGCCGGGGGCGGCGGCGTCGGTGTGGCGGTGGGTGTGGCCGCTGGTGAGGGGCTGGACGTCTCTGCCCTTTGACACTGACATCGCTCATTGTCGCTGTAAATTCCACGGCACAAATCGCAGATATTCTCATAGATATTGCTACTCTCCAGGGGGATGGGCGAAAGGGGTAGGTCGGGGGGCGGACTGACCACCACCCCCCCGCTCACGATGCACTGGCAGAAGTGGCAGAAGCGTCCTTGGGCTGCAAACACCCCGTAGCCGCAGCCACGACACAGATTCTCGTAGATCGCCTCGCGGGGAAAGTACTTTCGCAGCTCCGGAATGGGCTGACCTTTGGGGGTGGTGGTGGGTGTGATGACGGCGGGCAGGTTCTCGTAAATGGGCGACTCCATGCCGACGTTGTCGTTTATGTCCTTCGCCTGCTGCGGCATTTCCCTTTATCTTTCTCCCTACTTTCTCTTATCGCCGATGCTGCGTCATGTCACAAGTCAATATCAAGTGTGAAAATAATGGAGAGATAGTGAGAGAGCACTGTGTTCAAGTGAATTTAAAACACCGACCAAATTGGAAAAGCCTTAAATTATGTAGTGGAGCTGATAGCAAATGATGTAAAACTTCCACGTCTCTAACATTCCTATCCACAAATAATTCGAACTAAAAATGAATATATAAATCAAGGTAAATGTAATTATAGAGCTCAAATTCTCCATTACTCGAACTTATTTTGTTGCTGTTGTAACTTTGAGTTTCCATTACTCGACTGTTTTTCAAACTTTTCCACTTCAAAATAGACCCTACTAAATCTCATCGACCTAAACGATCATATTTCTTACAGTGTGTGACAATTGAGGAAAGTCGTGGCGTTTGAACTGTTTCGAGTTTAGACTTAAGTGAAGGCGCTACCCCCTATCTATATCTCTGTCTCTTTCTCTTTCTCAATATCCCCTATTTCTGTCTCGCTTCCGACTGCTGGCACCGATATTCATTATCTCAGCTGAAGTCGCTGCACTCTGCACTCAATTGGTCCCAAGACGTCGACTTCGCCTTCGAATCACATCACTCTCCTTAAGCTTAACCCCCGAGTGGCCAACGTGACCAGTTTGCTTTTAGATTTGAAAAAAAGGAGGAATTAAGATCTGCTCAATGTCAGTTGATGTAGTCCAGTTGAGATATGGCGAACATGTTATGTTTCTTTGTTAAACCTTTTTTAATAAAACTATTACTGTTGGTTGATTAAAACAATTATCAATTTAAAAAAGATTTGGTGACCCCAATCCATTATTTTAAATGTACAAAATTCAAAGTGATATTTCAAATTTCGTTATTTTACTGACTTAATTTCTTTGCATTTTCTTTTAGAGTCAAGACACATTCAAAAGCAGAGAGAACTATTTTAATTTTTTCCTAATGATGTTACTTGAACCGGTTCAAAGATTATTTCACGCCCAAAAACATGCTAAGCACTAATCACTTAAGAAGTCAGATTGCATATATTCCCGTGAAATAATTTAATGTGTTGGGAATTACTTTAATCGTTTTCTATTAAAGTGTGTAATTTCTTTTAATTTGCTTTCTTTTAATTAATGACAGTAATGCCAGCGGCAGAGAAAAACCCCGCAGGGTTAAGCACTAACTGCTTGCACTTCTTCTGGTTAGAACTATATGTATTGTATGTACATGTGTACATATGTAGTGGTTGCTGTTGGCGGCTTTGTTTTTTTTTCCATTTTGGGTGTGCTGGGCTTTGTTTTTGTTGATATACGGGGATGAGTCACTAACCGATCCACCAAACCATGTCGGTCCGAGGGGCGTGTCCCCTCCAGCCGACTATCTTTTCCCCTCGCCGTCCAGTCCCGTCCCCTCCCTTCCTATCCCTCGAATTCAAATTAAAGGCCCTGACATAGAAAATGGGGGGAGGGGGAGGGGAGAGGCGAGGAGAGAAACCCCTGAGAAACAGGTTGGCCAGCCGAGAATTGTGTAACGCTGCTCGTCGACTTCCTCACCTACGCCTCACAGGTGCCGCCAGGTAAATTGAATGCTGAATGTGGAACATGGAATGTGCATGGTCCCACACTTGAAAAAATAATTATTCCCGATTCTTCAGAAAAAATGACAATGCAAAAGCAAAGGCAATTTAATTACTCCGATCAAAAATCAAACAGTCTTATGAAAGCAATCTATTTATAAACTTGATAAACAGCTCTTAAAGTTCCTTTAAGATTACCTAGCTTTTTAAAACATAAATAATATTATAAAAAACCGTTTTATCTACACCCAAAAATCAAAATTACTTAAAAATTGTAATTGTTTTCTTAATTGTATAAGCTAAGTTTATCTTGTAGGCCAACAATCCTAAATTTGATTTGATTATTTAAAACCACTCTTATTTTAGGTACAATTTTACTCTTTTACTGCAAAATGTGCAATTTATAATTCTGAAAACTTTTATAATAAGAACCATTATCTTTTAGGAAATAACTGTATAATCTTTAACAGGGAAATGTGCCAAGCTTTTGATTTATTAAGATCGTGTCTTACTATTTTTCCTAAATCTTTTATTTTCAGTGCACAGTTCTCCAAAACGGAAGGCGAGAGTGACCCTAATGGAGTTAAGGTGCCAGAAACGAGGGCCCGTACATTAATCTCTTGATCAGCGTAAGTGGGGAAATCATGGCTATCTCGACGGTGGATCTTAAAATCTTTTTCGGGAGGCTTCGCGTTATTGGTCATTCTCTGATCTAGGATCACGGCCATTAATCATAATCGGCTTGAAGCGCAAAAGGGTAAACCGGTTAGGGTTTGAGCTGCTTAAAACATGTTTTACATTCTTGATACCCAATTGTTACAGAAAATGCATTTTCTTTCGAAAGTCATTTAAAATTGTTTGCAAATGACGGAAGAAAAATGCTTCTTAAAATCCTAAAATTAAAAAAAAGATTGCCCTTTTTTATGGGCTTATTAGTCATTCTTCGGCCATTGAGGTGAATCGAAAAAACCGGTTTAAATTGGTTAAAATTCAAATGCAGAGATTTTTTTTCCGAGGTTTCAAAAGGATTTTAAAAACATTTATTGACGTACATATTTCAGCTTCTATTCTTAGTCATTTTTTTTCTGAATCTTGTCGTTTAAAAATTTATGAATATTTATGAAAATTCCACAGCTTATTTCTTTGAAAATATTTATGGGATCTGAAATTAATTGCAGAAAACCAAAATACTCTATACATTTGCATGTCAAGTTTTTTATCTAATTCCCATGGAACGCAATTGAATCTTTACTTAATAATGTTTCTGTTCATGCGAACCAAAATTCTCTGTAAATATTACACTTATACACACAGAATAAAAAATACTTGCAGCACTAGTTTTTCTTTATATTTTTGGGGGTGTGATAGATCATTGTATAAATTAGATTTAAATATATATTTCTGATATGTTGAAAGACATAGAAACCGCTATAATTACAAAAAAAATTTAACAATAAATAAGTTGAAATTTATTTAATGCTAAAACAAAGATTGATGAAACTTCAAACATAAAAAAACAAAAGAAGCCCAATTTACTATTGCTCAAAAATAACAAAAATACCGAGCAGAAAAAGGAATTGTATAAAGCGATGGATGGTTGGCCAAATTTATTGACGTTAGGACAATTTGCAAACCATTAAGTGTTACCGACATTACTTCATATAATTCTCAACTACTCAAAACTAGAAGGCTTCGATGAGATGTGTTCATTGATGTTATTGAAATACGGTGAATCAGCGGCCACACGTCCTGTTGATATGTATCATTCATGACTAGCCTGGCTAGTCATCCTTCTGGTATTTGAGGGCCATCTGCATGAAGCTGGCGTATGAGATGGTGCCAGTTCCGTCCGGATCGCCCTCCTGCATCATCTCCTGGACGGTGGCCCGGTCGGGCTCCTCCTCCAGCGTCTCCTCCAGAGCCTGGTGGAGTTCCTCGACCGAGAGCACTCCGTCCCCGTCGCGATCGAATCGCTGGAAGCATTCACGGATCATCTCCTCGTTTTCGGCGCGGATCACCATTCGGCAGAAGCGCTGGAAGTCCACGGAGCCACTGCCCCCGGAATCGGCGGCCAGGACCATGTCGCGCAGCTCCTCGGAGTTTGGCCTCCGGCCCAAATGCTGCATCACGGTATTCAGATCCTCGGCAGTGATGACACCGGGATTCTCCTTGCCGAACAGGGCGTAGATCTCATTCAACTCCGCCTTATATTGCTCGCCAATGTCACTCATGATGATACTCCCCTTTTATTTCCTTACTTAATGAACAGTTTCCTTTTCCTCTATCTCTCTGGACTCTATTGTACTAATTTACCGGCTTTTTAGAAGAGCGGCTGTTCGACTTTTGTTTGGACTCATCACTTACTTAATTTTATCTTCTTCCTGCTTCAATCCCCTCTATTGTATAAGTTGAACCGTTTTCAAAAATTTCAGAGAATTTTGAAATTTTGTGCTTTATTTTAAAATCGAAATAACTATTTTGTAATTCGGTGCTGCTCGTGAAGCATCTCAACTTTGAATAAACAAAATAAAAACTGACATTAGTGTGTTGCCAGTCCAGGCCTACTACTAATATTACAAAAGCCTACTTTATTGTTTAAAAATTTTTTTTTAACGTTTTAATTGCAAATCACCAAAACCTTATTTTATCACAATATAGTTAAACACATTCTGAGAATGAAATTTCATACTATTTGCATATCAACAAATTGAGTATTATCAATCGCCGTAAAAACAAACTATACCATTTTTGGTATACTTTATTACAAATGAACTTTACTAATTAAGCTCATTAGACAATTGAACCATAAACTATAAAAAACCCAAAAATGCGGGTATGCGTCACCGTTTCAATGGTAAATGTTTGGGGGTCACCAAAACCTAACTTCCACACACTAAAAATATACAGATTAAGAATTTACATAAAAAAATCAAAGAAAAAAATATTTCATCAATTTTAAAGAATCTGAATATTGGATAACATATTTATTCAAAACTAAGCCATAAAATGTGCACCCAAAATCCAAAAGAAGCCTCGCTATTTTAGGTACCTGCATCCCCAACTTGCATACTTTCGGGCATTGGTTCAAGAGCTTCTTGACCCCGTCAATAAAAACCAATCGAAATTATGCAGCTCTCAAGGAAACAACAATAAAACTAAAACTGCAACCACTTCCACTCCATGTGGCATGTGAATAGGCGATTGTAAATTATCTACGGATTTGCCTATGTCGGTGATTCATAGCCGTCCATTTGCGGATGGCGACAAATGAATGAATGATGATGAATGTTTTTACAATGTATTGCAATTCAGAAAAATCAGAAACAACACACACCCATGTATGAGCAAAATTAAATAACAAAAAAAAACAAAACAATAAAACAAAACGGGGTTTGGCCCCTTGATTTTCCCTTTTCCGAGCCAGTTATCTCACAGTGCTTATCTCACTTTCTCTCCAATTTCCCTCACAGCATTATCCACTCTTCCGTTCGAATCTCTATTATATAGCCGATCGATCCAGGCATTTACATTTCACGTTTTCATTCCCGAAACACGAGCACCAAAACAAAATAAAGCAATATTTTGGACACTCCACTGATAAGCCGAGCTCTGATCGGAGTGTTATGAAATCGGGTTCGACATGGGCCTTTCCATCAGATCGGAGATGCAGTGGAGGCGCGACGACGCGTTCGCGAATTTAACAGAATATCAACTGAAATTGAACTCAAGATGCCGCCGAGAATTTTCTTGGGTGGCGGTCCGCCTCGTAAGCGTCTGACGTCGCAGTCGCAGTCGCAGTTAACGTCGACGCCGACGCCAAGAGTCGGTGGCTATGGCAATGCCGACCTCCGGTCACCCAGGGAACGCGAGCACTCCACACTGGCCAGCAAAAGTGGGTTGGATATACCCACCCCCGACATCCCAGGCACAATATCCCAGCTCAATATACTCCAAAAGGGATATGTCCATGAAAAACATTATAACGTTTTACCGATTTACCCCTCCTCCAGGCAATCATAAATCAAATCATAGTTCACTTCTAACAAGGATCTTTCCTTTTGCAAGGATCTTAATATTTGTCTGGTGCCTGTTCAAACAGAGTTTGAAACTAATGTTTTTTATATTATAAATTACTGAAATTTAAAATAAATATATGAGGTGATCAATTCGTAAACCTCTTTAGTGGTTAAAGTAATATACTGATAGTCCCTTGATTGGGAATTCTAACTTTAATAACACATTTTCTATATCTTTTCGGTCAGGGTTCGGTTCGGAACTATATGTTTTATTTTTATTAAATGTGGTTTAATTGACTAATAGGATGAGATAAATCATGCTCACGTAATGAGCTGTTATTGAATGAGCTATTGATAGCTCTAAATGTAAAACAATCCTGTAAAACTATTTCTATGCTGACTAGTGTTGGCCAGAGATCAGCGATGGGGAGGCAAAAGCCAAGAACAGAACTGAACTGAACTGAACCACATGTGTGTAATGGAACATGGGCAACATGTGTGGCTCTGTATCTCTGTGTGTGTGTGTGTGTGTGTGTTTAATATCAGTGTATTAAACATGTGTGTGTATGTGTGTAAGGGTTGGGGTTGGGGGTGGGGCGTGGCAGCGACAAAAGACGCTTTTTATACTCAACGCCCGTTGCCTAATTAAGCATATCGAGAGCGGCGGTCCCTAAGGGGGGGGTGGGGGGTGAAGTTCGTTTTAGGGTGGGGGTGCAAAAACGTGGAGGAAATCGCCAGGGGGGTGGGGGGTGCTGGGGCACTAAACATGATGAATGCTAAACGCTGCTCAAGTATACACAACCATTGCGTAAACCGATTACAATATATTTTTGCTCAACACTATATTGCAACCGATTCAGATATGGAAATGAGAACTGTACTTTGAACATGAACCAAGCCTTTTTCCATTAGGCCTGTAAATGTGGACAAAACAATAATACTATGAACTTAATAGATCTAATTTTATTTTAAGAAAATAGTTTTGTATAAATCAACTACCAAAGAAATATTGTTGATTATTATCATGATAACACAACCGTTCATAACTGATGGATCATCTTTTAATTTATTCATAAAATTGAATTATTTAAATTTCAAAACTAGCATTCCTCCTAACAAAGCTTAGAGTTTTCAACGGACCATCAAAAAGATTTTTTCAAAAATGTGATAAATGTATAATAAATATGAAAAACAAATTTTTAAATCATCTTCTGTGCTATTAAACTGATCTTAACTGTAGTCACAATGCCTATATACTGTAGATCCATATAGTATGTGTCCGATATCTGAAATATCCCCAGTCTGGGAAAAATATCGGAGTCTATAACAAACAAGACTGGGAAAACCAAATGGAGAAAGGGAAAGATATTAAAAACGAGAATGAGATTGAGATTGAGAGTGAGGAGAAGCCGCAGAAGAATCGCATTGCCGTCGATGTTCAGCATTATGGTCGCTTGATCTTTGAACTAAATTAATTAAGCACAATGAACACAATTGTTGTTGTTGCCTGGTGCTGCCGTCGGCATCAAATGTATCCACCAGATACACAACAACAAGCGGCACACATCGAGAGAAAGAAATGCATTCAGATTCAGGCTGTGACCAACATTGCAGGCAACTTTTGTTTTTTGGCTACCCTGTATTCGGGGGATATACTTGTAGATGAAGAATTGACTTGACAAAATGGTTAATGGGTTTACCAAAAAGCTGTCAAAATTAGTAAGTATTTTTAAAATTTATTAGAATAATAACTCTTTAACAAAAATCGTAACAATTATATTTGTTATACTATTTAATTATTTTAAAAGTGGGAATAAAAAGAGGCAAGGCTTAAAATAATAATTATCCAGCGCAAAAGCCTTTAAAAATATATATTTAAAAAAGAGGCAAGCAAACAAAAAACATTTTACAAATTAATGATAAATGTCCTTAGATAATTTTCTATACTTTAGCAGGGTATCTTTTTATCGCAATGATTGGCAAATCAATTTCTTAAGAACATATTTTTCATGTTTTCGCTTTCAGTTTCCGTCTTTTTTTGTACCCCGGCTCATATTTGGTTTGGCTTTTCTGCGGGTCTTCCTCGGCCGCCTTCTTCCCCCGAAAAAACAAGAATTAAAAGGGGTGGCCCACGGCTCATGGCCCGTGGATGATGGCTGATGGTTGGCCCAGTCCAAGACCCCGTCCACATCGAAGTCCCAGCCATATCCGCAGACACATCCACATCCACAGCCATGTCCCTGTCCAGAACCAGACTCGCGTCTTTGGCAGCATTATGTTTTTGTCGGTAATGAGTTGGCTGCGACTGCGACTGCAAGTCAGTGTTGTCGGAAGTTGAAAGCTCAAAACCGTTGGACCCTCAAAAAAAACCAAAAAAAACACACCTATCCAACATAACTATCTCAAAATTATTTGATGTAATCTTCGTTCTATCTATAGAATTTGTAATTTTGAATATGTGTTTCAGTTAAACGTCCACCGGTTTCAAAAATGTAGTTTCGGGAAAATAGCAATTTAACGTAGCGTGTCAACTCTTAAAGCCTTTATATCCATAGATATTGTACCGATTGGCTTACAATTTTAAACAAAAATTTCAATACATATTCAACTATTTTTAATCCAGTGTTACCTTTTAGAGAAGAATTTTTAAAGTCATAAAAAGAAGCAAAGAGTAGGAAATTAATGCTAGTACTTTTGGAATAGCTATATATATAATAGAATTTCTGAATCGGGGTAAATAAATCCCTTAAGTCTACCGTTTGGTCACCTTCTCAAATGATTTAAAAAAATATATATTAAAAAAAAACCTTTTATAAAATTATATTATATTTTCAAAAAGAATCTGCGCCATCTTATATCTAGCAATAAAAAAGTTAAGGTGCCAACTCTGTTGCTGCGCTGAATACTGCATGTGTTTGTAGTGGTGTTTACCCCTTGGTGGTGCCACCCCCTTTTCCCCACTCCCCTCCCCTCCCCCACAATTCACTTTATGATTATTATTGCTGGGCCGCGGTCTTCTCCTTTTTTAATGAATTTTATTAAGCGCGACAGCAGCAACAGATAGATCGAGTGGAAAAGAGTGGAGGGGGCAGGGGATTGGGTGACCGGAGCCAGCAGCTTTTGTCAACGCCTCAAATTAAAATAAAGAGCCGCTAGTAAAAAAAAGGAAAAACAACTCCAATTAGTCTCCCTTTTTATTGACCAGCGTGTGTGACTCATTGGATGTTTTATACTATTCAAGTATTAAATCTAATCCTGGGAATTGGTCAATAATTGATAAATAAAACAAAAAAATGGTGAGGAATAGGCGATGAAAATGCACTCAACTTGAAAGTGTTTTTAAGCCACTTAAAATCAATTATTTAGCCAATAAAAACTGCGTTTATTCAAGTGGCGCTTGTTTAATATAATATGCCAATTCTTACCACTTCAAGCATATTTTGTATCTTAAGTATTGATATCAATATTACTTAAGTTATTTGAAAAATATTGCACAAAAGGCAATTTGAGTGCCTTTTGCTGAAAGATATCAGTTTTAAGGAACGTGTATAAATGCATTTTCTATATGGTCATAATATAAACCAAAATACCTGTTAAATGGATCAGTTTTATAATTTCAGATAATTCGTGGACATATTCCAAAACAATGTTAGGTTCTGTATGTAAACATATCTCATCTCCAAAATTTCCTATCTGCACTACGTGCCGAAGAATCCCTGGAATCTTGACTCATATAACCATTTAAGATAAAAAACGATAGATAAAAAATGTGGAGGAAAAATTGTGAGAAACAAATGACACATTCAGGGGTTGAGAGGGTAAAAACGGAAGCTGAAATTGCATTCGGAATACGAATACGAATTCGAATTGAAATGAGAATGTCAGCTCAAGTGTCAATCAGACGACGACGATTCTACTTGGCGCTGCATTAACAAAGAAAAAATAAAATTAAAAGAGAAATTTCGAACCAGAAGTGCGGGCAAATCAGAGCGAGAAAATGAAATGCATAAATAAAGCCAAATGGAAATAATGCACACTGTGTATCTATGTGACCGCCTCGGTACGTGTATTTGTGCCCGTTGACTGATGACAAAATTGTTTCACTCGTCACTCAGCGAACCAAATGATAAACTCCTACACAGCGAAAAAACGAGGTCATTTAAAGCCTGGCTTTAAAAGCATCGAGACTTAATCGTAAATTATTAAGTCTTAGAAAGGTTAATCATTTTCTAGCACTTTTTTTTAGGTTTTCAATTTATATTTTTCAACTATGAGAAAAAAAGCAAAGGTTTTGGTTTAAAAATTGCGAAAACTATTCTTTAACATTCCTGGTAATGTTCATTTGATCATAACAAAATTGCTTAACAAATATTTAAGGTTTAAACAACTTTAAGGTTCTAAAAAAAGGTCGAAAAAACCTTAATTGGAATTTTTTGAA